GCCCACAGCCACTGGACCACCAGGGAGATAGAGAACCCCCTCCCCCCCACCATTCCCAAAGGTAAGGAGGGGGGGGTTAAATAAAAAAAAAAAAAAGAAGAAATGTGTTAATGTGAGTGTGTGTGTGTGTCTGTTAATGTGTGTGTGTTTGTTAGTGTGTGTGTGTGTCTGACTGTGTGAGTGTGTCTGCTAGTGAGTTAGTGTGTGTCTGTTAGTGTGTGTCTGACTGTGTGTGTCTGTTAGTGTGTATGTGTGTGTCTGACTGTGTGTCTGTCAGTATGTGTGTGTGTCTGTTAGTGTGTGTGTCTGACAGTTTGTGTCTGTTAGTGTGTATGTGTGTGTCTGACTGTGTGTGTGTGTGTCTGACAGTTTGTGTCTGTTAGTGTGTATGTGTGTGTCTGACTGTGTGTGTGTGTGTCTGTTAGTGTGTGTGTGTGTGTGTGTGTGTTAATGTGTGTGTCTGACTGTGTGTCTGTTAGTGTGTGTGTGTCTGTGTGTCTGTTAGTGTGTGTGTGTGTCTGACCGTAGCGTGTGTCTGTTAGTGTGTGTGTGTGTGTATGTGTGTCTGTGTGTGTGTCTAGTGTGTGTCTATAGAGTGTGTGCGTGTCTGGCTAGAGTGAGTGTGTGTGTCTGTTAGTGAGTGTGTGTGTCTGTTAGTGTGTGTATATTTAGAAGGCGGGGGGAAGGGTTGGGTGGGGCTGGCGCAGGGGGGGGGGGGGCGCCTGAGTTTTGTCCTGCCTAGGACAGCACAAAACCAGGATACACCACTGCCCCTTAGCTGTGTACACAGTTATCTTTTATAAGTATTATTCCAACTAGGTACTACTATACTAATCATCAGTCAGCTGTTAATTACTTTTCAATGCTTTTCCTGTGCCTAGTCAGGGTAACAAGATCTTTGAATATTTTATACTATAGTTAGCGATGTTACATTTGTATTCAAGTGTCCTAGATCAGTTAGATAAGCCAGTGCCTAGATTGAATGCTCCATAAAGTTTATAACGCATTGTGCCCCCAAGGTTTCGTTAGAACTGCTCAGCTAAACTAGGACCACATTTTAATTGTATACTCAGTGTAATGTGTAAACGTGGACAATCTCGACATAAATAACTAAAAAATGTGCAAGGATTTATGAAAACCCCATTGTTAAAAATGTTGATGATCAGCGTGAGGAATGCTATTGGGGCACCACATGCCTGCTGTTATGATTTTTTGCACTGCAAAAATAAAGAATTAAAAAAAAAAAAAGCTAGCGGGCTAATAGTTCGGACAAACCAGCTGTCAGACGCTAGGCAAGGGGGTGACTTTCTGACATTGGCTTCTTACGCTCAAACATGTCCTTGACAAACACCTGACTGTGGGCAGATGAGCGGGAACTGCTCAAGGCGAGAGACGGAGTGGCGGATGGTTGAGAGGGGGCAAGGAGGACAGCAGTGGTTGACGTGGCTGAAGATGCTGGACCAGGAGGAGGATGGCGGCTTTGGGTTTGTGTGCTGCTTGTACTCATGTGTTGATCCCACAGGCGTTTGTGATGTGCGATCATGTGCCTACGCAAAGCAGTTGTACCTAGGTGGGTGTTGGACTTCCCACGACTCAGTTTCTTTTGGCACAGGTTGCAAATGGCATCGCTGTTGTCAGAGGCAGACACACACAAAAAATGCCACACTGCTGAGCTCTGCAATGACGGCATTCTGGTGGTGGACACAGCATGCGTTGATTGGCGTGCTGTTGCGCTGACCCCGGGTGCCGATGCGTGCTGTCTGACTGTGCCACTAGCTCCTTGCGACGACCTCCCCCTGCTTCCAACTCGTCTCCTCATCCTCTCTGTCTCCCCATCTGAACTTTCGCCCTGTTCTTCTTCTTGCCGAGCGGGCACCCACGTGACATCCATGGACGCATCGTCATCATCAACCGCTTCACTTGTATCTGACAACTCAGCAAAGGAAGCAGCAGCGGCTACAACATCATCATCATCACACCGTACATGTGTAATGCTGCCTGATTGAGACATATCCCTGTTATCTACATCCTCTGTCAATAATGGTTGCGCATCACTAATTTCTTCAAACGGATGTGTAAATAACTCCTCTGACATACCAAGTGAAGCGGCTGTGGTGCTAGTGTTGGTGGTGGCGGCAGGCGGGTGAGTGGTATCTTGAGAGGTGCCCGAAGCTAAGCTGGAGTAGGATGTTGCGTCAAGGTTCCGAGCGGAAGCTGTAGAAGATTGGGTGTCCTGTGTCCTCAGAACTTTTCAAGTTCAGGGTACCCAGCCTCTGAAAACTGGGCATTATTCTAGGGCAAAAGGGAATCACAGCACCACGACCATGACGGCCCCTGCGGGGTGGCCTGCCTCTGCCTGTCATTTTTTTTCCGATTAGTGGTACTATGCGTGCAAGCTACTGTGACACCAGATATGAGTGGCACCCTCGTGAACCGGCAGAGGCTGGCAGAGTACACGGTAGGCCCGACACAACCGCTTAGCTATCAACTAACTGCTATTCAATCTATAACAGTGAAAAAGTTTTTGTTTTTAAATGCACGCTATTGTGACACCAGATATGAGTAGCACTGTGAACTGGCAGAGGTTGGCAGAGTACACGCTGTAGGGCTGACACACCCGCTTTGAGACAACTAACTGCTATTCAATCTATAACAGTGAAAAAAGGTTTTGGGGTTTTTAAATGCGAGCTATTGTGACACCAGATAAGAGTGGCACTTTGAACTGGCAACGGTTGGCAGAGTACACGTTGTAGGCCTGACACACAGACGCTTGGAGACAACTAACTGCTATTCAATCTATAACAGTGAAAAAAGTTTTTTTTTTTTTTAAATGCAAGCTATTGTGACACCAGATATGAGTGGCACTGTGAACTGGCAGAGGTTGGCAGAGTACACGCTGTAGGGCTGACACACCTGCTTTTAGACAACTAACTGCTATTCAATCTATAACAGTGAAAAAAGTTTTTGGGTTTTTAAATGTAAGCTATTGTGACACCAGATAAGAGTGGCACTTTGAACTGGCAAAGGTTGGCAGAGTACACGTTGTAGGCCTGACACTCAGACGCTTGGAGACAACTAACTGCTATTCAATCTATAACAGTGAAAAAAGTTTTTTGTTTTTAAATGCAAGCTATTGTGACACCAGTGAGTGAGTGGTGCACTGGGCAACAGTATCCACTGTGAGCCTGACACACCCGCTTTAAGGACACGGACTGCTATTCAATCTATAACAGTGAAAGTTTTTTTTTTTTTTAAATGCAAGCTATTGTGACACCAGTGAGTGAGTGGTGGCACTGGGCACAGTATCCACTGTGAGCCTGACACACAGACGCTGCAGACAACTAACTGCTATTCAATCTATTACAGTGAAATACATTTTTTTTAATGTAAGCACAGACACCACCGAGTGAGTGGTGGCACTAGCAAGTAAGAAGGTATTCACTGTGAGCCTGACACAGAAGCTGGCAGACAAACTAACTGCCATTCAATCTATTACAGTAAAATAAATTCTTTTTAAATGCAAGCTATTGTGACACCAGTGAGTGAGTGGTGGCACTGGGCAAGTGGGCACAGTATCCACTGTGAGCCTGACACAGAAGCTGGCAGACAACTAACTGCTATTCAATCTATTATAGTGAAAAAAAAATTTTTTTAAATGCAAGCTATTGTGACACCAGTGAGTGAGTGGTGGCACTGGGCAAGTGGGAACAGTATCCACTGTGAGCCTGACACAGAAGCTGGCAGACAACTAACTGCTATTGAATCTATTACAGTGAAATACATTTTTTTTTAAAATGCAAGCTATTGTGACACCACTGAGTGAGTGGTGGCACTGGGCAAGTGGGCACAGTATACGCTGCGAGCCTGACACACAGACACTTGCAGACAACTAACTGCTATTCAATCTATTACAGTGAAATAATTTTTTTTTTTTAAATGCAAGCTATTGTGACACCAGTGAGTGAGTGGTGGCACTGGGCAAGTATCCACTGTGAGCCTGACACAGAAGCTGGCAGACAACTAACTGCTATTCAATCTATTATAGTGAAAAACATTTTTTTTTAAATGCAAGCTATTGTGACACCAGTGAGTTAGTGGTGGCACTGGGCAAGTGGGCACAGTATACGCTGCGAGCCTGACACACAGACGCTTGCAGACAACTAACTGCTATTCAATCTATTATAGTGAAAAAATTTTTTATTTATTTTTAAATGCAAGCTATTGTGACACCAGTGAGTGAGTGGTGGCACTGGGCAAGTGGGCACAATATCCACTGTGAGCCTGACACAGAAGCTGGCAGACAACTGCAATTACATTACACAAAAAAAAAAAGCAGACTGATGTTCTAGCCCTAAAAAGGGCTTTTTGGGGTGCTGTCCTTACAGCAGAGATCAGATGAGTCCTTCAGGACTGTAGTGGACACTGTATACACTAACCTAGCTATCCATTTCCCTATCAAATCAACAGCAGCTACACTTTCCCTCCTCTCACTAAGCATGCAGCTTAAGAATGAATCTAAAATGGATGCTGTCCAGTAAGTGGGAGGGTCTGCTAGGGAGAGTGTGCTGCTAATTGGCTGGAATGTGTCTGCTGATGTGAGGTACAGAGTCAAAGTTTACTCAATGATGAAGAATAGTGGGCGGATCGAACCGCGCATATGTTCGCCATCCGTGGCGAACGCGAACACGCTATGTTTCTCTGGGAACTGTTCGCCATCGAACCGTTCGGTGCATCACTAATCCTAATTCTCCTTGATCTTTCTGCTGCCTTTGACACTGTTGATCATCAACAGCTTCTTCTCATTTTCCATAATCTCGGAGTATGAGATACTTCTTTCTCCGGGTGCTTCTCCTACCTCTCCCAGTGCATTTTTAGTGTTTAGTGTGGAATAGAGGTATGTGCACCATGAGAGAGACATAGAAAGAGGCTGAGAGCACAGAGAATGAGTGAAGCGAAAGCCTGATACTGTGAGACTAAGGGAGGCTGCAGCAAGATGTGCGGAAAGCAGAGTTGATGCACATTTTTTTTTGTCTAGGGTGGTAAAATAATAGCCTAGCATAAGCTATGGAGGGAAAATAAGTTGTTATGGTGCTTGCAGTGTCCCTTTAATAAAACTGAAGCTAAGGACTGGGGAACCTGTTAACAGCAAACAATGGATAGCTATAAATGCAATTAGCACAGGAGGGAAGATAACTATGCATTACATGCCTTGCATAGTGCACCTTTAACCAGAAGCTGTTGTTTCCATACAAGCTCTATAAATAGCCCTTCTTGTTAAGGATCCTTGCAGTGCTTGTTGCATGACTTGGACAGGCATTCCTGCTAGTAGTATCCATGATCTCATTAAACAGCCCAGCCTCCACCTTCACCCTGTGTGTTCATATCTGTGAGTGCTTCTATAATGATCCCCCACCCTCCCAGTGTCTCTCATACATGCACTGCAGACTGCCAGGCTGAGAGCTGCCCTCTCTGCTGTTGCTGCTGCAGCTCCTCACACTGACAGTGCTGCTGCTGACTTCTATTGGGAGTGGAGAAGGTCATTGCTTCTGACGCTGGCTTACATTGCAGTCAGGTCCCCAATTGCTGCCTGTGATTTGGAGTCCTGTGACTGGCAGGCAGTGAGTGGCACCCAGTCAGGGAGAGGAGCTCTGCCAGGAGGAGATAGGGGCTGGCTGTGTGAGTACAGGAGCTGGACACCCACTGATAGCTGGCACATGCTACCACCCAATGCAGAAGGTGTCTGAAGGAGAGAGACAGGACCTGCTGTCAGAGGAGCCTGCGGTACAAGAGACTGACTTGGAGGAGGGAGGGCACAGGAGCCCTGGCTGCTGGAAGATGGCCTCTCCCACAGCAGCCTCCACTCCAGGGGGTGGGATGTCTCCTAATCCTCCAAGGATCCGCCAGGTGGGTGATGATGGGGACACTTTGTATGGCTGCTGCTGGCCATGGTATATACAACCTGCTGTGTTTGGCATGGGCTGTTACTGTAACGCTGGTACCCAGGGTGGTCAGCACATGCACGCACAAGCAGCCTCTGGCACATCCACTGACTACAACTCCCATTATGCGACAGCTAACATCAGGATAGGAGATTTGTTGCACAGTAGTTGTCAAAGCCAGAGGCTGCCTGTCTAGCCTTTATTATTGTGATATTAGTGACTAGTACTGTGCATTCTGTAATAAGAACATTGACATTGGGAACCTCCCCTCTGTTATTCCCTCCTATTACAGAGGCACTCCCTATTAACCATCTTTATTTAACTCATGATGTCACTTCTAGCATGCTACTGTCCCTATATCTGTATGGCATCACAGGGAATGCTGTGCTACCTGAATTATGTGACAGCATTACATTTACAACATTATTATTATTATATGCTTTAAGAAATAGAGCTTCAAGCTATCCTGCAGTAATCCTAAAGAGCAAAGATGTACAGGCATTTTCTATATCTAACAATGCAACTAAAGCAAATTGTACTACTGCTAACAAGAGCTCCCAATCTAGTAGTAGGGGAAGTATGGGGGGGAGGGGGAGGAGTATGTTATATCAAGTAAATAGGGTGTAATGTGAATCATGGTGATCTCAGAGCAATGACAGGGCCATGGCAGATCATTTTTTCCTGATTGTATAGTAGCTACAAAGTACAAATAATAATTTATAAACTCCAGTAAAACATTAGATGTCATCATAAATTACGCCTACTGAGAAGCACAGAGACATAGCACATCTCAGAAAAGCAAAACTGATACCTTATTGATTATGGATGTACAACTTTAAATTAAATCATTTTATCTTCTCTCATAAGACATTTTATCTCAAAAGCTACAAAGTGTATTGTTAGTGTAAGCATTGCCAAACTGGTTTAATTGGGTTTTAATTGAGCTTCCGCTCTGATGGCCATTTGCAATGGTTCTAAAAAAATCTACATTGAAGTTTGGAATATGTACCTTTTTGGTTTTGTCTTGTTTAAATGTTGAGACTTAATACTATAGCCATTGTCACCAACCAAACCTAATTGGATTTTGAGCAAAGGGTCAATATATGCGTTTTAGGGTTAAAGTTGACATAGCTAGTATTTTTAGGAGTATTTTTCTAGATCTAGATCCCTTTGGGTTAATCCAAATATTCTTAATCCACCCCTCCCTCCCATCTCCCCCTCCAATTGCTGAAAAAGGTAATAAAATAAGCTTTTGCCTATCTTTAATATGACACTGGGCAAATGTCCTGGCGCTATAAAGCAAGCCCTAAGTGATATCATGGTAACTGTAAGATACAATTATTATTATTATTATTATTTTATTATTTATATAGCGCCAACAAATTCCACAGCGCTTTACAGTGGGTAGACGAACAAACATGTAGCTGTAACCAGACAAGTTGGACACACAGGAACAGAGGGGTTGAGAGCCCTGCTCAATGAGCTTACATGCTAGAGGGAGTGGGGTTAAGTGACACAAAAGGTAAGGATAGTATTAGACTAATGACAGTTGCAAGAGAGGAATCAGTCGGGAGCTATTAACAGTTTAATTGATACACTTTTATGAAGAAGTGGGTTTTTAATGATTTTTTGAAGGAGTGGAGACTGGTTGGGCATCTAACGGAGGAAGGAAGTGAGATTCACAGGAACGTTGCAGCCCTGGAGAAGTCTTGAAGGTGAGCATCAGAGGTGGGAGTACAGATCAAAGGCTCCTTATAGAGAAGGAGCCTTTAACTATTGGACCATTTAACAGGCTTAGAGCGCTAGTGCACATGCATGCACTCTGAATAAATGGACGGGGGTTGGAGAGAAGGACACCCTTATACATGCTGGGCACCCGTACACGACAGCCAACTAGGGCTGACTATGCAAAGGGCGGAGGAAATTTACTCCTCTTGCAGTCTTGTCAGTCTCTTGCTGGACTTTTCCCTGTGTCCTCTGATGCAGAACAGAGAAAAAACACAGGACAATGGACATGGGCCCAAAATGGGGGGAGTTTTGTAGTGATAGGAGTAGAAGCTGCTAAGGCAGTTTATAGACCATTTGACAGCTTGAGGCCAGCTTGAATAATTCTGTGGAGGTTTTACCTTAAGAAAGACATACCTCCAGAGAGTATTAAAACAAGGGCTGCTAGAATGGCAAAAGATATGGAGCATCATATATGTCAAGAGAGACTGAAGCTCTAAATATATACAGTTTGGAGCAGAGAAGGGATATGGGGACATTACAAAATTCACATATATCACACAAATTGAGGTTTCTATAGACAGAATGTGGCAAGTATGGAGGTACAAACCTATCGAAATGTCCTTACGGGATGTCTTTGGTCTGTTTTGCCCTGTGCTATTAACCCTCTGCAGTACATGCTTACACAAGTTTAATTAGGAATTGTCACTTCTTTCCCCTGTTTATGTAGGGAAAGTGTTGCAGAATAATAAAATGGATTGTAAGGATTTTAACTATACAAACTATTTGCCCGCTGGTATGATTCAAATCTGGGACCGATTTTGAAAGTCCAGCAGTTTTCAGTGCATGCACAGCCATCTAACTCTTCCCTATAAAGAAGCAATGGATTGGCTAAAATAATCTGGATTGATAATCTCAGCCAGTGAGGCGTGCCAGGGAGAAAGGTAATTAAAACTGTGTTTTTAAATGCACACAGAGGGTCTCAATAATCCAACTTGTTACTAGAACACTATAGCATTAGGAATACATGTTTACAATTTGAAATACTATTCCTTGTAATTTTGCTTTCTGCGCGTGATAATACAGTAGTCAAAATATTTGTTCTAATCTTATGCTATCCCTTGTTATAGTTACACGGTAAGGTTATATTGCCTGGTAAGATTTAAGACTTAGCTTGTGCATTGTTACAAAAACATAGCTGGAACATGTGATTTTTTTCCCTGTTTGCCACATCTGTGTAGTGGAAGTATGAACAGATAAACATCTTTTGGAATGCAATTCAGAGACTTTAACAATCTTGCCACTGTATGACTGCCAAGTCAGAAAAGACTGAAGCAATCACATGCACATACTGCAGTGAGTGAAGAGAGAATAGGCTGATTGGGAGAGTGATGGCTATTTGGGATTTAAATTGACCAGTACTAATGGGTCCCCCATACATGTTTGTGAGCGACAGACAGACAGGTGATGTTTTCTTAAAGGACCACTATAATGCCAGGAAAACATACTCGTTTTCCTGGCACTATAGTGCCCTGAGGGTGCCCCCACCCTCAGGGTCCCCCTCCTGCCCGGCTCTGGAAGGGGGAAAGGGGGAACAACTTACCTTTTTCCAGCGCTGGGCGGAGAGCTCTCCTCCTCCTCTCCTCCTTTGATCCGCCCTGTCGGCTGAATGCGCATGCACGGCAAGAGCTGCGCGCACATTCAGCCGGTCTCATAGGAAAGCATTTACAATGCTTTCCTATGGATGCTTGCGTGCTCTCACTGTGATTTTCACAGTGAGAATCATGCAAGCGCCTTTAGCGGCTGTCAATGAGACAGCCACTAGAGGCTTTGGGGGAAGGCTTAACCCATTGATAAACATAGCAGTTTCAGAGAAACTGCTATGTTTATAAAACAATGGGTTAACCCTAGAAGGACTTGGCACCCAGACCACTCCATTAAGCTGAAGTGGTCTGGGTGCCTAGAGTGGTCCTTTAATCTATGATATGCCATTTCCTTGATCACACCCACTCTGTCTCTGTTTAGTGGATTATTAAATCACTTTTGTTTTCTGATTTCTTTAAAACACTCCTGGGTTTACTGATAGCTGCCATAAAATGTGTGATATAGAACCCAAAGGTGCCATTTAAGAAAGCATTTATAACATTATTTAGTATAAAACTTAATTAAACTTTAGTATTGTTTAGTATTAAACTTAATAGATAGGAACATTAGTTGTTTATATTAGTCCATGTGATCTCCCTGTTAACTAGTGCTAATAAGTAAAGGGGTATGATTTTTAGAATTATGTTTATTTATCCACTTTATTTAACAAATAGGTATTTTGAGGTGTGAAAATTACAATTAAATCTAGAAACTCCTACCTCATTATCCTGCAACTAGGGGCTTCTGTATTGGCTTCCTGACAATCATTGCTGTAAACTCTTCTTATTGCACCTGGCAGTCTGCATAGAGAAAGCAGGCAGAGAAGAAGAGACATTAAACAATGTTTCTGTTTCTGCTACTTTGTTTCTGCTATGTCAAGCTACTGGTGCTATAGGCTTGTGATAATATTTTTGAGTTGCATACAAATAAATGTGTT